ATGAATATGTTGCTCTCGTTGGATGCAGACTCTCTTACTTAGAGGGCGTAATAATTAATTAATTTAAAATCCTTCACACATGTCCATGTTTGATATTTAGCTAGTTACGGTGTTTTGAATTTCAGTGACGATGTGAGATACGCCCTTTCCATACTATACTAACGATATGTACATACATGGGGCGAAATGGCGCGCACAATAAACTATGTCAGAGGTTGTGGTATATAACTATGGCCCATAAAAATAGTAATCTCCTTGGGTCTTATGCCAATTTGCTTATCTTTATGTCGAGACTTTTTACCTTGCCCCTTAATATTTTCTGTGTCTGTATCTGAAATATAACCCGAACTTTTAACTTTCCTAACCCGTTGGTCTGGAGCGCAAGCTGTTGATTGCCGCTGGGTACAAATCTGGGTACAAATCTTCCGCTGGGTGGAAATCTTATTAAATGTTAGACAAAATTAACTTAAGTACATTAAAAGAGAAAAGGCAAATAGCAACAGACAGTAGTAAAAAGCAAAACATTTGCACATATGCAAAGTGTTGCGGCATGATTTTGCGTTTTTTAATCTCTTTTGTGGCAAAAAAATGCATGCGGTGCATATTTTCAAACATTTAATACATGCGCATGCCGTCTTCAGCCACCGAAGCGCAATTTTTTGCGTGTTAAGTCACAATAACTTATTACTTTTGCAAGTGGTTTTATTATTTTGTTTTTGTTTTAGTTTTAGTTTTAGTTTAACAGCACTAATAAACAGAAGAGAAATCAGAAGAAAAACTCGTTGCTCAAAAACGGCAGTTTCTAAGACATAAAATAATGATTTGCTGTTGGCGCTATGAAGGTGTTTGAACCCACACATATACATATATGTTGGTTGGTATGTATGTACATATGTTTGTTTTTAAATACATACATATGTATGAACAAACGTATTAGGGAAAATAATTATCAGCATTTTAACTACATAAATAATACGCCAATCTAAACTTATTTTATGAAGTATATAGAACTTTTGTTCATTGATTTAAATTTATATTTATTATTATATATTATTATTTATTTTGCATTTGCCTGAAGGTTTAAAGAGGTTTATATTTAAATACATATGTATGTATGTAAATATGCATATGAATTATATTTATGCATATACAAATGTATGTACATATGTATAATTTTAATGTTATATGATCCAGAAAACTTCCTACAAATCGTTAGCGCATGAATCTGAAAAACTGTTTTTAATGTGAAAAAGTGTGAGAACTAAAAAATATTACCCAAAAAATTTAACTTTTCACTTTTGTAGTGAAAGGATGCATAACATTTGCGCATGCGCGTTTACATAGCGAAAGTAGCAGCTGTACAGAATCCATTTCATTAAAATAAAATAATTTTTAGAAGGGTGGCGCCGACCCACCCTTTCAGTCAACATAATAAAACGTTAAAAAATTCAACCCTATTTTGCATTTGATTCGGTGATTTCATTCACAATGTTCGTACATCCAAAAAGCAGCCAGCACATCGAAAGATTTCCATACAGCATTTGCAACCAATGAAAATTCAAAAATATAAAAAAAAATGTTTAAAAAAAAACTTGTGTTGCAGCATGTAGCACATACATACATATTGCCATCAGCTTAGTAAATACATACGTATGTGTATATATGCGTACACTTAATCCCTTGTACGCAAATATGTAGGTACTCAGGCAATAGCAAATATGAATCCTTTGCCGAGTTCGATTTTTTTGATTGAGCATGCAATTCCACATACATAATACATAGTACATATGCGAATAGACACATTTATTGCTTCGTAAACTACCCACATCTGAATATGCGCTTTGTTAAATGATCATAGCCCGTAGAAAAAAAATTATATTAGCAACAATGAATCGACCAAAAAGTTGGAAAGGATTCACCAGCGAATTGAGGAAAAGCAAAAAAAAAAAAGAAACATCAGAATACAATAACAGCCTCGCTGTCACATGTTCCCCTTTGGTGTGGCACGCGCGTGCTCCCGCGTTCTGCTGAAGATGTGATCGTTCAAATATTTTACTCGTATTAGGGCGTAATCAAAAAAGGGAAAGCAACTTAACTATCAATTGCTTCTATAATATCGACGACCATATGTCAACACGATCACAAGGATTGTTTGGTGCTGGCTGACAAAGCTGCTGCCCGTGTGCTGCGCATGCGCAACTACTCCATAGTAAGTCGCCCGGCTATTATGTAACCCAATACGTTCAGCACGCGTTATTGAATATACCACAATTTAAGGGTTACTTTTATTTTACTTAGTACAGATGAACATTGCACAGGTAAAAATACAAAAGCAGAAGCGATATGATAAAAGGAGTAAACATTTGATGGTGAAACTAAAAGTGGATGCGATATGCATGGCAGTTGTGTATACGAACGCAAGTGTGTATGTATGTATGTATCCTCTATGAATTGGACTGAATGGATTTTAAATTTTATACTTTGGCCATTTATCTTCATTTAACGTATGTCACTACGTACATATGTAGTTGCATACATACACACGAAAAACTTTTGCTTGTATCCTCTTGTACAGTTACGAATGTGTTTTTATCCTTTTCCTTTTAAATGGCGCGTGCTGTTCGCCTAAAAGGATTGCGCTGGATTTGTATGTACATATGTAAGTATGTATAAGCACTTTTATAAGGAGCATACGTTTAATGTGAGTGTGCATTAGGGTGGTCCAAAATAAGTATGCAAAGTCGGAATTTTCATGGTTCTATATCGCAAAAAAATATATCCTTATTTTTGATTTTGAAATCAAAAAATATTTAGAGGTCGCTCAAAGCGCTCAAAGTTTTCCATGTATTTTATATGGAAGCAACTTTTCGTAGAAATGGTATGGAATTCTTGAAAATCAATATTTTTTGATAAGAAAACTCTGATTCTCTTCAGGAGACTTCCAATAACAATACCCAATTATTTATTTAAGCATTTTTTGACACCAAAGTTTTTATATCCTGGGGGTGAAAGCAATAAAATTACGACTTTACTTTTCCCCATGCATTTTTTTGGACCACCCTAGTGTGCATACACACATACATATATAAACTTCAATGCAGATGTTATTTACTCTAATTTAGAGACTTGTTTGCATAAGCATTAAATTTCACACACAAGCACTCAATAACAAACATATGTACATAAATGTATGTATGCAAATAAATATGTAGATAAATGCACCTAGAGACGTACATATGTACATAAATTGTAGGCACATATTTATGTATGTACATTAGAGTGGTCCAAACAATTTTTTTTCGAGATAGGGTTTGGGGCACTTTCCAAGATTTTTCCTCTTGCTGGAAGAGGTGCTGGTACCAAACTATACGTTTCTAAGTATAAATTTAGACGATGCTCATGATGCTCACATTTTACCCTGGAAGTGTTGTGTAAATATTTTAATCAAATAATTGCATAAGCAATCTAAAAACATTTCAAATTTAAATTATGTAAAAAAAAAACATCACAAGCTTCAGTTGGCATGGCAACAGTAGCTTTTTAAAAAAATCACCAATATTTTTCCTAGTTTCACAGCAATCCAGTAGCACATTTCAAGGTCATTGAACACTTTGTATTGGTTACAGTATAAAATTGAAAGTTGTTATAGATATTACAAATATCAAAGGGAAGAAACTAAGGGGGTGCCCCCGTTTTCTAGGATGAAATTTTCCCCCCACCATCCTAAAATTGGACCACTATAATGTACCTACATATGTATATGTACATACATACCTACATGTATACTACATTTTAAAATTTGTACACAAATTATAAAAATGGAAAAATATCATCAAATTTAAAACTTTTTACTCCGAATTTTTAGAAACATTTTAGGTACGCAATATTATATCCCATTAAATTATAGTAGGATAAAAGTATGGTAGTAGTACGATATAGTATATCGTAGGGAAGGATGGTATATAGTAGGATAAAGTGAAAGTTTCAAGTGGCTTAAAATACTCCTCATTTTGTATATTTTTTTTTTGCTGGCTCTGTCACGCATTTTCTTCCATACAAAGTATGTTTATATGGACGGACATGCCCAGCATCGTAAAAAAATGCCCAAAAATCAACGGTATTTTGTAGCTGCTTAAAACTTCCACTTTATTTGACTTAATGGGCTATGAAACTGCGTTGCTAAAATTTTTCAAAAAATTCTGAGTAAAAAATTTGAAATATTTTTTAATATTTTTTGCATTTTTTTAATTTTTGTACAAATTTTGAAATGCGCATTTATATGCAGTTATCTATATTTAAATTGAGGTAGACTTTTATAAGAAAAATTAAAAATTAAATAAATAAAATAAATATAAACAAAACTGTTTGAAATAAGGCGTTTCTTTATTTCTGCCACTAGTGTTATGAACTTCCTTCAACCACAAAATACATACGCTTACGTTTTTTTTTGCATTGAGCTTTTTTCGACATACCTTAAGATACTTTATCAGATATGTACACGCTAAAGTTTTATTAAATGTGCATAAATTTAATTACTGACTTTTGTTTTGTTACTAATGACATGCTTTTTAAGTTTAAATGAAAAAGTAGGTTACAAACCCATTTCTTTATCATTTATTATATGGAAGGAGAGCTACTGAAACAATATTGATGTAATTTTTTCATGGTGAGTTGTTGAAAAATAATTAATATTCCGAGATCCCGGAATTGTAATAACGAGATACCGAAAAACCCGGGATCGTTAAAATCTAAAAAAATTATATCCATAATGTATACACATGAGAAAATAAACGTCAGAAAGGGAAATGATTTCATTTTTACCTCTGCATAGATACATACATACATCTAGTGTATGTATGTTTGTGTATATATAGTATAAGTGCTAACTTACATACATACATACATAGTTTGGCAATGAGGAAACATTTGTTTATGATCACTCTCTGTTTCTTTCTACTTAACCCCAAAATACCAGATGTCATGAATTTTTGTAAACTCACCTTGTGACATTCTTATTCAAATTTTTTCTACAATTCAACGCTGTAACAAGTAATTTTTAGCACAAAAAAATCGACTTCAATTCTAATATATAAAATATATATATATATATATCTCATGATCCACTGATCGGATCTTAACCAGATTAGTATGGGACCACCTCTGAGACACTATCTTTCCGATGCAAAAAGAATTATCGGTTGACGGGGTCCAAAATTATGCGGTAACATACATAAAATAAAAAAAATATTCCGACGAGCTGATAACCTCCTCCTTTTTTGGAAGTCGGTTAAAAATAGCGAAAAATTGATGGCGAAATTTCTTCTGCAATACGTTTCCATTATACACACACTTTTCAACAAGACTTTACATACAGACATATGAATGTACGTATGTATATATGTATGTATGTATGTTCCCTGCAGTATAATTTAGAGACAGTCTGACAAAGCGCTAGTTCCGAACTACATATATCGGAACCAAGAATGATAGAATAAATGATTGCGCCGATTGCAGCAGAATTCGTGAGAGTAATTTTAGCGTGACGTCATCGTAGAGTTGACAACTGAGAGCGGCGAGAACAAGGGCGATTAGTGATGTGCTGAATTGTCCCCAATACTCGGTACCCAATTCTTAAAAACGATTTCGGTACCCAATACTTCTCTTTCGGTATCCGATACCGATTCTTTACATTAAACCTTCGCCATTATATGCATTTCAGGTTTAGAAAAAACTTTCATTACTAATTTATATGATATCGGCTAAAAGTTTTAGCCTAAAACACTTGAACTTATTGCAACAGAGAAATATTATTTTATCAGTTTTAACCCTAGTCGATTCAAGGTTCAAGAGAAATGCTTTGACGGATGAAGAAGCTTTTCAAGGGGGAGATCTAACCAGTAAGCGACAGGTTTCGAATCGATATCTCACTTGTTGGCGTAAAAATATTTCATATCATACATCAACAAAACCGATACCGATTCGAAAATTGTCGCTAACTGGTTATAGAATCTGCCTCCAGGCCTCCAAAAATGATATCGTCCGATTCAGCTGGAACAAAAATGCTTCAAACAAGTAAGAGTTTCTCTGTGTTTTGGCCTCGAACCGTCAGATATATGCACATCTTTCATTTGAATTAGTATTAAAAGCTCTATTGGCACCTACATTCGGGTTTTGATAGGCGAGTCTCCCCTGAGCCATTTTTTCCATATCTTTGCGCTTTTATTCGGAATCTAAATATTTCGGTACCGAGTATCGAGTGTATTTGATACTTTTTTAAATCGGTACCGAATATCGATCAATACTTGAAAGTATGGACTCAGCACATCACTACTGCTGTCATCTCGACAGTGACGTCAGCAAAACAGCTGATTCTGTCAAATTCACTGAGAGCCGATTAGCGGTGTTGCGATCGGCCCCACATTCTGTATTCTCTCCACCGTGTATCAGAACTATCTCTGAACTAGTGCAAAACGGATGCAAATGTTCACTACTCGCACAATACGAAAGCAGCTCGGCGAGAGGACCTCCGACTCAAGCATCGTTGGTCGCGAGTTCAAATTGCGATGGAGGCAGTTGTGAGTTTTCTGATTCAATTAAGTTAAATTGTTGCGTGCCGCTTACAATAAATATTTTTTTTATAAAATATGTAACAAACATGGAATCTGTAAAAGGAAAAAAACGAAAAGAAGTATCCAAAACTCGAATCTAAAAAACTTTTTCTTATAAAAAAAACTGTCCAAAACGGAACTAGCTAAAAACTAGTTGCAAAATTATGCACTGGGCGATGAATAATTTTTTTTGCGGACGCGCGATCGATGGGGACTTTTGACATTCCATTCATAATGGTACCAACTTTCAGCTTTATACGAATTATTGTAAGCTATCACTTCAAACACATTTTTTCAGAAAAAAATTTGTGTTTAAGGGCAGATCAATTTTAAATTCTACTTAAGAAACTGGCCCTTAAAGTTTTTATTCACATGGAAAACGATAAATTCGGCAAGTTTCAAATAGTACCATAATAGAATCAAAATTTTACATTTCGATTAAAATTATTTTAAATTTATTTTTTAATTGAACAATTCGTAATGCTGTGTAAATATTTCATATAAAAAATGTTTTTAGTATTGTTTTCCTGTTTTAAAGCATAAACAGACGGCAGCGCTGATTCGAATCAACTCGGGAATTAACTGCAGTTGATCCGGATTAAGTCCGAGTTAATCCTGATCAACGCTGTCATCTGTTTAAGCTTTTAGGGAAGAACAAAAGACCGTTTTGCCGCCCCATCAAGACTTCGCGGGGGGGGTTTTCGCTTAATAAAAATCAAACGAAAAACTTCGTGTTTACTGCAACTTAAATACATACATATGTAAAAACTTACGTTGTTAACATTTACTGCTATTTGAAAGTGTTTTGCATGCGAAATTCAAGAGTTCAACGCCACCTCCCCCAATGGCTACATACATACATACATACAAGTGGCTGTAAAGTAGCCCCTGATTCCATGAAACATAGAAAGGCATGTAAATTTTTATAGTAAAAATATGTGTAAATACTTAGGCGAATGTGTAGGTATTTACATACATACATACATGTCTAACTAGTGCTACTTAAAAGTGTGCAACATGTTGTTTTTGCCTTTGTGTTTTTGTAGCTTATTATTCACATTCACTCAATGCCCCAATTACTCCCCCCGCAACTTATCTCCTGCTGTGGCTGCGCTGCTCTTGTCTGTGCAGTAATTAATTGTATGTTAATCATTTTGCATACTAATTACCGCTGCCAATATGTTGTAGTACTTCTACTTAAGAGTGGCTGTTGCCTTACGCTCATAGCTGTTGTTTAACATAGATGCGTTTTTCCTTTTCAGCAATTAAAAGTATGAAATTTAACCCTGAATGCAAATGTGCGTTGCGTTTATTGTAAAGTGTGTGCAGCGAATTGTAAAATAACAGTGTTGAATGCAACCATTGTTTTGTCAGCATTTTTTGTGCATACATATACATATGTACATAAATAGGCATTTAGAAATACATGCATGCATACATATGTATACCAGAGATGCACACTTTGCTTTGGATAAATACTATTTAGTATATCTCGAGCGTTCGCTAACCACGTATGCACTTAGATATATACATACATATGTATGTAGTTATCTGCATACATATGTATGTTGGTATGTATGTAAATTCATAAGAAACTATTACATTGCAGTTGAGAAGGTGCGTCAGTAACTAATTTTTCAATAATTAAAAGCCGTTGGGAGTTATTCCTGTTATTAGCTAATATCCGCATGGTCAACTCTGTTGCTGTTGCAAAAACAAGAGGGAGGTGGCATGGGCGCTGCATAATTTTTTTTTTTTCAGAAAGCATACCCTTTTAGAAGTGTACACAAATATACAAATACATCAAATTCCGCAACTGAATACTAGAAAATTGCGTCATCTTTCATCTTTTTTATTACTATTCTCTTTGTTTTGGAAAATAAAGCCATTGGGCGTTATTTCCGCGGGCCTTATTGCACTCCAGCCTTAGAGGCCACTTGTTCAATCTGGGGATCTGGTCAAGCGACATATGTCACTTCTGTAACTCCGCAAAAAAAACACCAGTGCACCTTCTCTGGAATTCAAGGCCGTTTAACGAAGAAGGGATAGGTGCTTAGGATATATATGGCCAAGTGAAGAGCACATACACTCTCTGCCCCCGCGATCCATTCTAAAATTCATAGAGTCTATGGACTGGATTCAGTGTTGTGATAACTTCGGGGCACAGTGCTTACCCTAGTCATCTTTCTCTATAAGATGTTTTCATTATCCATGCTCCTGCGCCATGCACCAGCACGGGCATCATGAGTGACTCAGAGAGTGCGATTTTTGTTTGTCGAACGTGGACGTGCAGTCGACTACTTTTTA